ACCCAGCAGCAGCCCTGCGACTTGCAACTTCCTGCCAGCTTCCCCACTGGCTGGCTGTGGGAAGCCGGCAGGAAGCAGCCTTGCCTGATGACCATGGAACTCAGTTAATAACAGCAATTGGGACCGCAGGGATTGCCATCGCTAAGCAATGCGGCCGCACTTTACGACCGCATCGCTTAGTGATGGAAATTCCAGTCCCAATTGCTGGGTGCCCTGTGGGAATCAAATGGGAGGGGAGGGGATTCCGAGACTATGCTAGCTAACAAAATCTCACCAAGGTTAAAGCTTGGCCCAGTCCATGAGTGGTTCACGTGAAACACAAATGTGTGCAAACATAGCTGGCACCTTAATGTTTACACAACTTATGCTTTGTTACTTTATACCAAATCGATTTTTTTAGAGGGGAATGCAATGCTGAGCAATCTCACCCCTCATCACTTCAGGAACCCCCTCCTCATGCAAATTCAAGAAAGAGATTAATTTAGCAACGGCTCCACAAAGCAGACAAAGAGGGCTGGACACATTTGGGTCTCCTTGCCACAAACCTCCCCTCTCCAACTTTCCTACTGCAAGACAAATTGGGTGGTCTTGCCGGAAGGCTAGAGACCAGCGAACGCGGAAGCGCAGTGCGCAAGGACAGAGGGGGAGGGATGGTGTTGGCGGGTCCCCGGTTGGTCCGGAGGCTGCCCGCTGCCTTCCAGCACCTTCCGCCTGGCTCCGCAGCTGGGAAGAGAGGTTGGGCGGGTCGGCCGGCGGGCAGCTCCGGTGGCAGGAAGGAGGGAGCGCCTCTGCCGCTGACCCCCCCTTACCCGAAGCTCACTGTCTGCGAGGGCAAGTCCATGCCCCAGCATGCGCAGCCCTGCTGCGGGGAAGGCCCATCTGGGCCATCAGGCAGGCGCGCCACGGAGGCCGGCGCTGTGCAGAGCTGAGCTCCGCGGCAGCCGCCCGCGCCCAGGCAGAACAGGGGGCGAGCGCCCCGGGGCCCAGGCACGGCGGGCCTCCAGCCCGCGGTGCGGGAGGCCCGGCTGGTGCCCCCCAGGTGCCAGGGAAAGGCGTGGCGGCCCCAAGCAGGAAAAGGAGGGCCTGGGGCGATCAGGGGAGCGAGGCCGGGGGAAG